CATGATCAAAGAAAGATGGAAAGCATAGAACCTGCGGTCAGGTCCCGTGGAAGCCGGAAGAAAGGAGGGTATACATCAACAGACAAATATAGCATCCTTCAATAATTCGCCCAGCTGCTCCAGAACCACCATCAGCCAATACAACCCCTAGCCCTCCTCCCATCAGCCCACCGAATCCTCCTCGCCCCATTTTTTTATAACCGCGGTATCGCCTGGCCTTATCCAATCCTAATACTTTGGTGTAATGTTCCATATCAGTGGAGGTTTCATCCGGTGGCTCAATGTGGTATGCATCAGATAAGGAGTGCACTGCATTGACTTTGAGACATCGTTCAACTTTGTCTGGAGTGTGCGTAGATGATAGATCCATCTGAAACGGTATAATCATACTTTGGGAGCGATGGTAGCGACCTCAATACGCTGCAGAGAATGTTCAATATAAGTATGCCTATACATTTACCAGCAAATGAAACTCGAGTGGACGATGTCTTACTTTTTTGGTCAGGAATTCCACCCCACTGCTCCAAGCACTTTGTCTACTAGTAGTAGAAGCCACTGCTAATAGAGGGTAGAAAAGAAACGTCGAAGCGAAAAATGAGTCGTCATTGGAGATGTAGTTGTATTCATAGTAGGGGGCTACAACTGCTAGTCTTCGTCCTTCACCCCTTCAAGTTGTCTCATCTACCGTGGGTAGCTGTTTTGCTGTGGAGCGCGGAGGCTCCCTCTTACCATTAAAGTTACGAATCACTGCGGTGCATCAATATCAACATCAACATCCATAGTAACACAATATCAACACACTGTCAACTGAAACGATTCGGTCACCGAGAGGACGACGAGTGCTGGTGGTGCGGTGGTGGGGGCAGAACGGCCCAGACACGAGAACACCTCTTTCGCCACTGCAGCCGATGGAAAGACCAGCAGAAAACGCTCTGGAAAGCGGTGGGGAAGGCCACGGGCTGGAAAGGGGGCAGGTGCCAACATGTGCAGGCCTCTGAGCTGTTTTCCATGGAGAAGTGCGATCAAGCGGTGATGGACTTCCTGGCAGCTACGGACGTCGGGAAGTTCCCGCCCAAGCAAGTGGAGGAGTGAGATTCTTCGGAGGTCTTTTGGTTCGGTGGTCTCTCTTTTGGTTCGTCTCGTTCGGTGCGTCTCTTTTGTTCTTATCAACCTTTTTGCTTTCTTTTGTCAGAGGGGATTGGGGGTTTGTTTGTTTGTAATCATATTGTATTCGGCCGCTTGCGGCCATGACATAACCTAATCCTAGACACTTCCACAGCCGAAGCTGCTTCCAAGTCGTACCTCCTAATCTCCTTTTTCCCATCCGCCTGGTTACTTACAAACTTAGGGGATTGGGGGTCTGTCATACTCTAAATAGAGTGAATACAGTATGATTAAAACAAAACAAAAACACACTATCAGTAAGGGGTTGGCCCCGTGGCGCAGTGGTATCACTCCTGAAATATAGGCGGGGTACACGGCCACAATGCTATGGGTTCGAATCCCAGTGCTAGCCCTTTGGAGTGAAGGGAAAATCCGCCATTTAGCTGGCTTACCTGGAGGTGGAGGGAATATCGGCTCTGTCATGCTCTACTTAGAGTGCATACAGTATGAATAAAACAAACAAAAACACTGTCAGCATCACCCTGGTACCGAAGTGCCGATCAGAACAGGCTGATACAGCGCTTACCTGTGAATTATGTTAGCGCAATGCATACCTATGTAAGTAGGGCTGCACACGCTTCCTTTTGTGTCTACGCTAAGAGTGCGGGATATAATCTATCACAAAATCACTTGCTCTCCGACTCTGAATTTCCTACTCGGTCAAATGTGAGCGATGAGTGTGTGGATTCGCGTTTAGTCTGGCGAGCTGAACCCCTTATAGAATGCAGCGAGGGTTTATCTGGGTGGCACTCCTAGCAACTACGGCCCACGTGGGGAAGCCGCCGCTCACCCGTGCTGGCGTTACGTAACACCAATTCTCTCCTTTTGGTATCTCAGCCCTTAATATAAAGCCAGAGTTCTTCCACGCGCAGGATGACACCTCAGCTCCAGAAAATTCAAAAAATGGCTTCAAAACAAGATATCGAGGTAGATCCACTTGTGGTACGTATATCCCTTCCATCCCCAATCTGCTATTTAGTGGTTGACGTTAAAAAAAAAAAAAAGTTCGAAGATCCCGAGAATGAAGGCTATGGTAGTGGTGCCGAAGGTGAGAGTGGTACAGCGAGTTTAACGCCGTCGGTTAATGAGTATTTCCACGAGAATGGTATGCCACCTATAATTGGGGGGCGGAAGGGGTGCTGATGAGGTGAGGTAGGGCGTCGGTATCATGCATATTTTGGGACGGACAAGAACCTACAGCCGACGGACGAGACGGAGCAGGATCGGTACAAATTACATTCCATTTGACCTCAGGATTACACTGATATATTGGAAAAGACTCGACCTCCACCACGAAATCTTCCTCCTCCTCCTCTCCGGCTCCCTCCACGCCGCTCCCATTTCCTCTACTCCCCATCGAATCCTCGACATCGGCACTGGAACTGGGATCTGGCCAGTCGACATGGCAGACAAGTACCCGTCCGCGGAAGTAATCGGTGTAGATCTTAGGCACATATCCCCCCCTTTACTCCCCCCACGACTAACGCCCCAGCACTAGCCCAATCCAACCCGCCTGGATCCCACCCAACTGTAAATTCGAAGTCGACGACGCCGAAAACCCATGGATCTATACCCCGAACTCCTTCGACCTAATCCACATGCGCAACCTCGCACAATCAATCACCGATTGGCCTTCCTTGCTCTCTAAAGCATACACCTGCACGAAGCCGGGTGGGTTTACAGAACTGTGCGAGTTAGGCATGATCGCGCACTCGGACGACAACAGCATCTCTGAAGACTGTGGGGTGTTAAAGTGGATGGAGCACCTCCGTGATGCGATAGGGAAGACGGGGAGGCCGCCGCACGTGACGGGGGAGATACTGAAGGATGGTCTGGAGAAGGCGGGGTTTGTGGATGTGGTGGTGGGAAAATATAAACACCCGATTGCGCCGTGGGCGAAGGACAAGGATATGAAGCGTGTTGGGTCGATGGCGTTGTTGTCAGCGCAGACGGGGTATCATAGTTATGGGATGGGTGAGTTTGTCCTAAGATGAAGGGGGGAGGGGGGAGTGCTAACGGGGGTAGCGGCGTTTACGAGAGTGCTGGGGATGGAGAAGGAAGAGGCCGAGAGGCTGTGTGATGGGGCAGTGAAGACATCACTGAATAAGAAGGTGCATATTTATGTTTATTAGTAAGTACTCCTGGCAAAGGTGGGAGAGGGAGGAAGGTTAATGGGGTTATATAGTTATGTGGTGTATGGACGGAAACCGGAGGCGGAGGAGGAGTAGGGGAGGTTAAGAGGGATGCAGTGATATACCGTGATAGGTATACGTACTTTTTGTATGTACGGTACCGACAGATGACCAACGGACCGCTGCCCAATATGATGACAGGTTTTGGGAGCAAACGAAGGTGAAATTGACATAAAGTGCGAACTAGTTGGAGGATCATGTGTTATTTAGCACAGGCTTGCTGCGCAACTGCGAGAAAATAGAGAACGTGGATGAGGAGGAGGTGACCCTTGAGTCCTATGAAACTCAACCCGTAGACATCGCCAAGAGTTTATCACCTTCGGTGACGGCGAAAAACCGACGGAACATGCGGAGCACCAGAAATTTGCATCAAACCGGGACTCCACTCAATCACACAAAATGACTCGGCGCTTCAAACCCTTCCATCCTTCTTCCTTCCTCAGCCCTCCACAACATCAACTATCGCAACCACAACACCACCAAAATGACAACCAAACGCTCCTCTCATCTCACCGACCACACCCCTCGCCGACGTCGTGCCTCTGAAAACGACGCAATGACACTCGACCCACCACACGACAACCCTCCACCATACGACCCTCACCCCCCCACTTCCTCTATCAGTATGCCATCTCCCCGCCGCCTGCATTCTATACCAACTAACCCCCCCCAGCACCCGGCGTAACCGTCACCGTCACCGAAAGACAGCAAGCAGACAGTCCGTCTTTCCCCTTTCTCCTCCTTTCACCCTCTAACACACCTCATAGTAGAGACCCACGGCTTCCAAATCATTCCACCCCCAAAATCCACATCTCAGCAGACATCCCGTCCGTCGTCGTCCTCCTCCAGCTTTCAAGTTGTGATCCTACCCCGCCACATAATCAGCGAGCGCGCGTTCATCTCGCTATTCCACGACCTCCCGCCGTTCCCGAGAAATCTCAAGCTTACATGGAACCGGTATGAGGAGGAGTTGTCGATTCGGAATTTCTCTGTTGGGGATGCTGTTGTGGTGGTGAAGTTTAAGGATGGGGTTGTCGTTGGGGTACGATTGGAGATGGAGGAAGGTGGAGATGATGGTTGGGCTAGACTGCAGGAGTTGAAGGAGCTGGTGGGTGTGGGGATGCGGGAGGTGCCGGGGAGGTTGTTTGAGGTGTTTAAACGGGACTAGGAGCTATATTTGTGTTTTCTGATACTTTGATCTACGGATGTTTGCGTTACTGGTGCTGCGGTAAGGTTGGGTCTGGATTCAGTACCTGCATAAGTTGAAATTGATCCGCTGTGCGCAAGAATTCGTTCATTGCAGATTTGGCCCTTATCGAAGTGTAATTGGTTGTCATAATACCCTTCAGACGACCGGAGGAGGCTCCACTTTATATACAGAAAATAGAACCATATACGGACGGACGTCAACCTCGGGCAAGAATCCATATACATCCACACCCGGCCGCACCTGCTCTAATTATCGACTTCACCTCTGTGGATACAACTGACCACACGCTGTGAATATCACTCAGAGTTTCCAATTACAGTCTAGACGAAAGTTAAAACCTTTATGCCGCTCTTGGTCTGTTGTACGGTGGAGTTCTTTGGTTGACATCCTATGCAATTAGGATTATAAATTATCATTTACTCGTCTTGTTTCAATCCGATATGGTGTAGGGGTTAGCATTGGTCGCTTTCATTTGTTCGAGTACCGACTAGACCCGGGTTCGATTCCCGGTATCGGAATTAATTTGCTGGATTGCGTCTTTTTTGGACACAATTCAATAAATCAATTCCGTAAGTTTTGGCGTTTTAGGCTGAGGTCAGATTATGGATACGGGTGTTTGGGTTTGAGAGAAAGAGTTTTAAAATCTAGGTACAATACCGCCTTGTATATATTCTGTTGTACTGTAATAAAATGACTGCTAGCTCATATGAGTTTACAGTAATGCCTTCTGGGTCCAACAGTCACGGACTGTCTTAGAAAATGGGCGGCAATTGTGTAATTGTGTATCCATTATGATTAGGCCACTAGCCCGCCATTCATTGTCTAGTAGCGGAAACAACTTCTGTATCGCTAATATCCGCAATCCCCATGATATTCATTCAAAAATAGAGCTATGACTAACAAATTTTTCAGCGTACGTGAATTGGAATGGTGAGTGCAATTATAAAGTCCAGTAACGATATCTCTAATAAGCACCTCCTAGTCACAGGTTTGTGGGTCTTTCACAGCTGGTGTTACTCGAAGTCAAGATTTTCATGGCAAGAGTACATGACAACATAAAGTGGAAGTTCATTCCCACTTCAGAGCCAAAGAGAGAGCGGTGAGAAATTAGAGAACATTCAAAACAGTGGGGTACACCGCATGAGGTACTTTAATTCCGTAGTCGAGGGATCAGGATTGAACCCCGTGGATTTGAGGTCCATCACAGTAACTTTGCATTCAGTGTATGTTGAAGAAATCTCTCCACAATAGCCGGATTCCCACTGGAAGCTAATCGCTGATTTACCACCGTCTTCGGCGGGGGCTGCATGCACGTCTGCACCAGCCCCGAGAAGCATCTCCACAATTTCCTTCTGTCCACATCTTGCTGCGGCCTGAAGTGCGGTTTCATAACTCGGTTCTGGCGCAGGGGCATTGACATTGGCTCTACATCTAAGCAGCGTTTTAACGACTTCCAGATGCCTCTTTAATGCGGCCTTTTGTAATGCGGTAGAAGAATTGAGGCTTACTCCCGCATGAATGACTTTCCCCACTAGTAGAACGCTACCGCTTAATGCGGCGGCTTCTAATGCTTGGAAACCACAATCTCCCCCCAGAACATTGATATCCGCACCAGCTTCCAGCAACCTCTCTATGATCTATAAATCTCTACATTCAGCAGCATAGACCAGTGCATCTGGCTAGGCACCCGCTTAAAGCAGCTTCTCCACCATTTCGATGTTCCATGATATACTGCGTGCTGTAATGCTGCCCTCCGGGGATCCCTGGCGGCTTGTCCGGATCCATTGACATCCACCCCATCTTCCAGCAACCTCTCCACCATCTCTAAATTCCCCTACTCTGCAGCTAGGATCAGTGCATCCGGCCTGGCTCCCGCTTTAAGAAGCTTTTCTGCAATGTCTATATCCTCATTCGATGTAGCGTGCTGTACTACTGTTCGCATTAGTACCCTTCCGCTTTCACCGTTGACGTCTGCCCCAGCTTGAAGCAAGCGATCAACCATTTCCATATCCTGCTGTCTCACTGCGATTTGTAATGCTGTTGCACCGATGCTACCTGAAGCTGGGGCATTAATATCAGCACCATTTGAAAGCGGTACATCTACTAAGGCCATATCTACAAAGTGCACTGCCAACTGCAGGGCAGTAGCCCCAGCGAATCCACAAGCAGGTGCGTTAACGTTTGCACTAGCTCGGGTTAAGAATTGCAAAATCTTGCAATCATGGCATTTAACTGCTCGTTGGAGAGGGGTTAACCCGACCCAAGATCCATTCACCGTCTGACCTCGAACCTCTAGATCCAAGCTGATGGCTTCTTCGATTAATAGCTTCACCTCAGCCAACGAGCCACTGCTGACAGCTACAAGTAGTGCCGATGGTCGATCCTCCGTGGCTATTAAACGCCCCCATGGAAGTCCGGTATCAACACTAAGAAACTAATCTGGCCGTACTGTTTCGCGCTGGATTTGACATCTTTTCAGCGCCGAAATCTCTGGAGCCGAGCCGAGTTGGCTCCTCGCTAATTGTGTTTTATTCCAGCCGACGAAGCATGGCCAAGTCGTGTACTGGCTTGTGATAAAACGCTGATTGCCGGAAGTGAACCACCGCTTATTAATGGTGGAGGTCGTACGGGCTGCGGAGTTAGCTCCACAATCCGATCCTTGTTGGTGATCTTGACATGCGCTATTCGATGTTCGGGTTTACATTACGGAGGCGCTATTAGCTGCTGGGAGTAATGTCGCCTCAACTCAATTGCAATGTTACAAACTTTTTATGACAGGTTAAATTTTGTGCCCCAAGGGTTTCATCTGTGCTAGATTTAGATTGTAGGCATGGAATTTGATCAGCAGATTGTGAGAATATTCGCAATTGCCTTCACGATCGTATCATTGCACCCTTGCATATACACAACGTTAAAATCATTGACGGCGGATTTCATTCGCGATAGAGGCTTTGGTAAGAATAAAATGGAAGTATCTCGGCACGACCATGGGATGTAAACAATCAAACAGGCTGGAGGTGTTATAAGGGAGTAAAACGTAAATCTGAATTGTCACATTTAAGGCAAGAAACTACAAGGCGAATATGCAAGAATCAGGGCTGCACGGCGGTCGACCAACCCAGAACACTGGAGCCTCATGCAAATTCCGGACTTCCTACCTCCACTTTGGATGCCAGGCACATCTCTTGTAGCTAAAAGTAATCTTCGAAATGTGGTTGCACAATATTCAGCATACACAATGTATACCTAGGTACGCTGGGGACACCACCATGACAACAATGCTGTTCACTACATACAAGACTTTAATACTTGAACATGACATCTCTTAAGATCAGAATGTATTAAAATTTATTTCTATAGCTGTTTTTTGTTTTCTTTTTTCGCTGTTGTGGAGATATAACATTTTTTGTTGGTGGTGGTTACGAACGACTTTCATCCGTACGTTCTTCTCGCTGTAGCTATGTACGTACTTAAGTAGTAAATGCGCTTCGCTCCTCTCAGACACATTGTGTGAAGTGAAAAGTGAAAGGAAGCACCGGGATATCAAACAGTCACTGACTTGGCGGATATATTTATGAACAGATAGATAACCACAAAAATTGGAACTGTCCCACAGTACGTATGCGTGGAATGAGCACCGTGTCGCCATAAGGCAAACCGCCCTTCTTCAAGATGGAACAAGCCAGACACTGCAAAGAGCCCCATGAGTTTGCCAACCCGAATGGTGTGGGGCTTATCCACGGTGTAGTAGCACTGTACATATAAACATCGGCCTTGAGATCGGGATGGGCTCGCTCAGCCTGTAGTAGCAGCGCAAAGGGGCGTCAAAAAAAGGCCTCGTTAGTGAGCGGATCAATATTTATTTAGCGGGCCCCTAGTCAATAAGTAAGTAGTCAGTCCAATGATGGAAGTGGACATACCCGAAGTGCCCGCTAGTGCCCGCTAACGGTCAACTGCTCACCTCCGCAAGTGGCCCAGAACATGCCGACCCCGGCGACATTCTCCACATCGACATTCTCCACATCGACCCGGCGAGAAACAACACCCGATGCTTTATTTCTGCCAATATCGCTGCCATTGCACCCCATGTAACTTAAGGGAGCAATAACTAATCAACAGCATATAAGACACCAAGCTTGCAAGTTCCCGCCACAGTACCGTAAAGCGCTCACTCAGCACCATACAAACGAAAGAGTTGAGACATCTTAGCAAGAAAGCATCATCAGGTACCAAGACACCGCAAGAAATTTTCCGCCGCTACCTTATCTTATCGTAGACCCTGTGTAAGCTTGCCCTTAGCATTTCACTATGGCTTCATTTCATCGATTCCCTCTCACATTCATCCACTCTACCGAACGTCTTGGTTACAATGCTCTAACCGCTAGCATATTATGATTGTGTATCTGCACTGGTTAACTGTACCGGATAGTTGATCGGGATCCTACGGTTTGAACGAAATTCTATCTTCTACCATGCCCTCAGTGTTTATCCTCTCATTTTATGTCTCACTTAGGACCTGCCCCATCTTCCCCCCCTACAAACGCTGCCAACGTACGCAAATCTAGTGGACTCCTAAGATACGTTCTATTTCTTCCGCGCTTTGGCAGATGACCGTACAAAGCTAAGCTCTATGCCACTACAGGTCTAGGCCTGCTCAAAGTCACCCGGTCAGTCACTTCGCTACTATTTTGCATTTCCGGAATGTAGCGTAGGCTTTCGGTAAATCAGAAAATCAAGTCCGACAACGTGTAAATGATTTGCCTTTTAAATATCTTGTTCAATTCGGCCAAGAAACAATCGCGAGTGACGATGCATGAGCAGGAATAACCTTAACCGCTGAAATCTCGTTTACTGGATTAAAATTTACGCAATTCATTGACAATCGCTTTCTTCAACCATTAACTCAGCGGAAAATCTCCCAAGAAGTCGTGTACAAGGATCTTTCTTATAATAACGCCCGAAAAGCTCCTAGTACCTCACCATGAACTCGCCGCCTGTTTATGTGGACTAAATTCCTGCCCTGAAAAGTCCAACAAAAATTTGAAATTGGACCCTACTACACATTATCGAGAGCCAAAAAAACCAAAAGCCTACATTCTAGGATGCTCTCCTACTCATCACCCCTGAAGTTCGGCCGTCCGCCCCGCCACCCGTTCGTCCTGCCTACTAATTCGTCTGCCCTTCCACCCAGTTCTTCCGCCCTCCCTCGTCGCCCGTTGGTCTTGCCCACTAATTCGTTCGTTCTTCCTCCCAGTTCTTCCGCCCTCCTTCGTCGCCCGTTGGTCTTGCCCACTAATTCGTCCGTTCTTCCTCCTAGTTCTTCCGCCCTCCCTCGTTGCCCGTTGGTCTTGCCCACTAGTTCGTTCGTTCTTCCTCCTAGTTCTTCCACCCTCCCTCGTTGCCCGTTAGTCTTGCCCACTAGTTCGTCCGTTCTTCCTCCTAGTTCTTCCGCCCTCCCCCGTCGCCCGTTCGTCCTGCCCACTGATTCGTCCGTTCTTCCTCCCAGTTCTTCCGCCCT